GATTGTGGCGGAGGGACTGTAGATTTAACAGTCAGAAGATTATTAAATGGTGGTCGAATAGCAGAAACGACAGAACGATCCAGTCCTGATTTCTCAGTAGGCAAACCACTAACTGTGAAATTACCTAATTGTCTCAGATGAGGTTCATCACAATATGTTGCATTATATTCAGAAGTGTAAAAAAATTGAAAAAATATGGAGGTGGAAGTTGGAAATGGATAATGTTTAGTGGAAAACTCCTTTTCCGCATCCACTTCTATCCCTTTACTAGCTAATAAATAAAACTTATCTATCCGACCTTTAGAGTTTTTACGGGATATTGGATCACTGACTTTCTAATATTTTAAAAAAATTGATTTAGTCAATATTACATCATTTTAAATTTTCGACTAATGACACTTACCCAAACCCTCGTAACCTTAATTCCATATGACCATTTTAATACTCTTGTAGCTACAGTTTTCATATCAAGCCCATATTCACACGCACCCTTCAAAATTGCAGCAGCTGGATTAGGTGGAACTATTAACAAAAAAATAAAATAACAATGAAAATTATTTTATGAACAAAATTTTTTTTAAAAAAAAGTAAATCAAAAACATACTTGCTACTTTTATTTTATTTTCAAATTCTTCTTTAATTCTATGCTGAAGATACCTTGATTCACTAAAGCCTCCAACCAAAAACAATACAGAACAATTTGAACATTTCGATAATTGTGAATTAATCAATCTTATGATCTTTCTAATAACGGGTTCAAAAAAGGATTTTACAGTATCAAAATCAAGCTCAATAATCCATTCATCCTCTTCCAACCGGTCACTTTCCGGACTGTTTATATACTTAATAAGTGCGGGACACTTTTTTTCAATATCAAAATCAATAGTTTTGAAATCATCCTTTTTACCACTGAAAGGAATTTTAACTTCAGGACAAAAAAATTTATGCACCATAAAATTAACTTGATCATAATGCTTTTCTTTTAACATTTTTACTGCAGATTTACTAGCTTTCTCCTCAAGGAATTTGAGAAACTCATCATCAACATAAGTACCACCACAAAAGCCACCAGTACGTTCTGTCGTTTCTGCTATTCGACCACCATTTAATAATCTTCTGACTGTTAAATCTACAGTCCCTCCGCCACAATC